ATTATGTTTTTTTAATCTTAATACACAGACCCTCTGATACACACATGGAATTGAACCTATGGCTTTCACATTGAGCTCTAACCCCAGTCCTTTTGTATTTTTTATTCTGAAACAGTTTCACAAATTCACCAAATTGCCGGCATGGGCTTGATCTTGTGATTCTTCTGCCTCAGCTTCCCAGAGTTCTGGGATTATAGGCATGTACCACCACACCCTGTTACAACTGTATTTATTGTCTTTACTTTTACTTCTCCACATTTTAACATCTCTGAAATTGGACTGTGGCTTACAGTAATCAAAGTGTTTTTGCTTTCATAATGGCATATAAAATAAGTACTCTTTGGCTGGGGATTTAGATCAGTGGTTCTGCTGCCTGCCTTGCAAGCACAAGGTCCTGCACAAAATAAATACATAAATAAAAATTTAAAAAGTACTATTATAAAGTATATGAGATATAATGAAATGCAACCTTTTATCTCATTTTTAAAGTATCAAAATATGATCTGTTAGGAAATTTACTGGTAACACTCTGCTACTTCATGAGATTGTTCCAATCTCATGTTCAATTTATAAAAGTGTAAGTGCCTAAGAAAAATTGAGTTTCTATAAGTCTAACTGGAATATTATTTAATCACTGGTATTTTTTTTCCCATACCTGTGCCCTCAAGGTTTCCTAATGTTTGAGAGTTGAAATAATTGTACCATAGAACATGAAATCTGAATAATTAATGATCTAAAAATCAAGTGTGGGCTGGGCATGGTGGGACCATGTCTGTAATCCCAAACACTCAGGAGGATCTCTCCAAGTTCAAGACCACCTTGGAATACAAAGTGAGTTCAAGGCCAGCCTGAACTACACAGTGAGACCCTGTTTCAAAAGCAAAAAACACAACCAAGTACTGGGGTAGCATGAAGGATCAATTTCTACATAAAACTTCATCGACCGAAGTAAAAAAAATACACAATATCTAAATCCATATATTGAATGAGCTAATTCTGGAAAGAACAGTAGTAAAAAAAAAAAAATCCCAGGCCATTACCCACACTAGCTTTACTATTTGCATTTTTGCAGTACTGGGAAATGAATCCAGGTCCTTCATGTTGAGCTATACACCTAGACCTTTAAAAAAATTTTTTTTTTAATTTTTTTTTTACATTTTCAGAAAGAGCCTTACTAAGCTGCTTAACTGCCCAGGCAGGGCTTTAACTTGCAATCTGTGTCAGCCTCCAAGAGTGCTGGGACTATAGGCATGGTTAACTAACCCTCTAGCAACAGAAAAATTTACTTAAATCTAGGACACCTTTATTATAAAGAAGAGATTTTGGTAAATTTCACCAAATTAGCACTGAGTTGAAGGTTCAGTAATAAGATCTTTACAATACTGAAACAATTACTCTCTAGTCATATCTGCTCCATTTTTTGTTTTTTGGCTTTCAGATAACATGCAAAATGAAGGTCCTGGAGGCTCTATTAGAGATGAATAGAACATGGAACATATACGCCAGTTTCACTTCCTACCATCAATCACCCCATCTTTACCCCCTCAACCACTTCAGCAAAAGATGTCTTCAGAGGCACAACAGCAATTTGTCCCTAGTGGAACTTGAAAAAGAAATGGCAGGGTTCTGACTGGACTTGGGAGCCCTCAACCACCACTGCACTGAAACTTCACATTAGGACAGATTTTTGAAATTGTTCTTATTAACATCAGCCAACCCTTTTCCCCAGCTTTTCTTTCTCCTCCTTTCTCTTCAACTTTGTAAGACTAAAGAAACATAGTCTTAAATTAGCTACTTCAAAGCTCCATAAAAAAACACTGCCTCTCCAGGAGGATCGCTGTGAGTTTGAGACCAGCCTGGGCTACATAGTGAGTTCCAGGTCAGTCTCAACTATGGAGTGAGATGCTGCCTCAAAAAGCCAAAAAGCAAACAAATAAACAAACAAACAAAAACACTGCTTCTCAAGACCATCTCTTCTTACTTACTCACTCACCTTCTGGCTCATGGCCCTTCCCTCTCACTCTTCCCTTCATCTCTCACTCTTCCATGAATGACTTCCTTCTCAGTGGGTCCCACCAAACAACACACACTCTCAAGTCATTGCAAAAGCCTTTTCCTTCATCATCGTTTTCTATCTCCAGTTTAACTCAATCCAGCTCTCCTCCAAATCACACTAACCTTACAAACTTTTCTTGAAGAACTATTCATTCACCTTTTCTGCAGAGGCAGTGATGCTATCTCACAGCTCCACATTGTTATTTTTCCTTTACATTGTACTTTTGTGCTTTATACAAAACATACTCCTTTTCTTTGAAGATTATGACATCAGTGGTTTTCAAAACTCTATTAACTTTAAGGTCCTCTTTAAGAATTTGTTTCTTATGGTTTTGATACCATACTGCTCGTCTGCTGACAATTTGCTCTTTCAAGCATTCCTTTTTTCCTTTGTATATTAAAACTTCTATACATACATACAAAGGCAACTTTGGCTCCATTCCTTTTTCTTATTTTCATCTAACTTTTGTATTACCTATTTTTCTTCATGCTAAAGCTTCCCAATAGTAAGTTACACATGTGTACTACTTTGCGGATACATCGAATCCCTGGGGCTCCACACTCACACCTGCCAGGGTCACTAGAAACCCCATTATGAAATTTGTCAGAAATATTTCATCTTTGTCTTATGTAAAATTTGTACAATTGTCACTGCAGACGTCTATGACCCAAAATCTTGTCAAAACTGCTCCTTTTCTAAGAACCCGATCTCTTATTAACCAGAAAGAGCTGAGGATCACTTGAAAACACTGATAAACCTATGGCACACATGCCACTGAGGGCTGTCTGGACCATGGCTATCTCTAAAAGGTTCTCCATCACTGCAAAACCTTTTTTATTTCTCTTTTATTCCCAAATATTTAGCAGCTCCCCAAATTATTAGACTGCATTATTATGTCATTTTACTGTAGGCCCTATGTACCTTTCCAAACTTTCATTAGTACCTTGGTTCAACTGGCTTCTTCTGTCTCATTTTCTTCTAGTCCAACAGCCATGACTATCAACATGTTCTACTGAAAACCCAGATCTTATTAGATGATTTAACTTCCCTATTTAAAATCCTTCAATGGGATACCACTGGTGAGAGGATTAAGTCTAAAATCCTCAGCATGCCATAAGGATTCTGTGGCATTCATGTTGTGGCCTCTGCCACCTCAAAAGCTTCATCTCATTCTCTGATCCATCAACTCTTCCTTGCTTATCTTACACAGGCTTCTTTCTTTAGCTTAACAGATCTTTATCTCCTTCACCAAATTTGGTAAGTGCCTGCTCTCCTGGATATTTTACTGAAGCTTATTTTGCTGCTGCACCTTCTCAGACACCCCAAGGCATTCTGCCTTTATGCTCTTATGCACATCTCTAGTGTGGTATTTATTATATTGATATTTTACAATTATTGTTTCTCATTAGACTGAGTTCTCAAAGGGAAGATCTCAAGAGATCTGTCTGTATTTGTGTGATTCGACTACATATCAATAACACTAAGTACATACGCTGCCTAGCACACATCAAAGCTTTAAAAACGCTCAGTCAGTGACTCTTAACATGCTCTATGTCTTATTCTTTCTCCTTTGTATTTAAGATATAACACCGTAAGTTCCCACTATACATGACAACGTATTAGGTAACAAGAAGTGAAAAATAATCCATTCTGTTTGGGGAAAAAAAGACTTGAGTTTATTCCTGGAGAATGGCAATACCTGTCCTTTGATTTTTAAAGGCAGACAGAAGGAATAGCTTTAACAATAGTCAAGGGTGCAGTGTTTTGTCATCTAATAAAGTTACTGAACAGCAGAGCCATAAAATAAATATCATGCAAATTAATAACTTTTAAATAAAAATGTGTTTTATTAAAACTTGTGGAGAAACTGCAAAATAAATAGGGGTTAGCTTAGGTATAACTAGCATCCAGTGCTAGCAAATGAACATAACTTAAGGAAATCTTCTAAGAAGAAATGAACAGAACTGGTTATACAAGTCCATCTATAAAAATTATCGTTAAGTTGACATAGTTACCATTACAAAAAAAATAATTTTCAGATTATACATTTGGGGGAACCAAGTACCATTTTCATTATAAAAGTGTAAAAAAAATTAAATGTGGCTATATACTCAAAGAAAAGTTCTGTTAAAAGTGTAAGTATTTGCACTGAATTCCCCCAAACAATGGAGGTGCTGTACAACCACATACTCTATATAACTAATCACTAAGAATTAAAAGCCTAGAACAAATGAATTACCAACTATCACAGTGCAGTTATTTTCATCCTGGCTAAAAAAAGAAGGGGGAGTAGGCGAAGCAGCATTTGTTTGTTGGTTTGAATTAACAGAGGTTAAAACAGAATATTCCAAAAATACCACTACTACCTACCTAGGTTCTTCACGTTTTGTTTTCCATAGCACTGCAATGATCTCACTACAGCCCAATTCTATAGACTGACCATAAGTCTTCCCTAAAAGTATTAAATGGGGCTATCTACATCATTAACAAAAAGGACTCTCCACATCACATTTACTATAAAGACTTCTTCCCCTCAGGAATGAGACAACCGGAAAAATCTCTTTTGATATGTGATAATATAATTTTAATGTTCCACCTAGCATTATGGCATTTTCCATATAATTTTGATAGTTCTAACTATGTATGAGAGTACCTTTATTACTTGGCAATATAATCTGTAGAAAATTGACTATATTTAACAAAAACTGAACTTAGCTATTCAATAATGATACTTTAATATTTTTAACTGTTAGAAGAACCCACTATAGAATTGTTGGAAATACAATCATATATAATACATACATATAATGCACATATACACACAGTACAGCCACTACACATGTCATCTATATTTAGATAATCTAAAAAACCAAAAATTTTATATTATTCAAATTAGTAAAAACTAGTGATATACTTATCAAAACAATTGTATTATGTTACTCACCATCCCCAGCAGGAAGTCCTCTCTCCTTTCTCTCATCACATTTGTTGCATTCACTGAAGTAAAGCAGCAGGAACATATCCAAGAGTACCCAAATCAAGGAGGTGGCCAGAACCACCTTGCAATATGCAAATTTTCTCATGGCACTTTTAAGTCAAATGCAAAATTTTAAAATACATATATATATATAAATATACAAAGATCATGAAAATTATCCCAATCCAGATTCATCAGAAATCACGTTCATACCCTACAAAGAGAAAAGGGAAAAATGAATGACTTAAAAATTCAGAACCTAGAAAATGAATTACATGGTTAATTTAATATTATAAACATTAAGAAATATGACAATTTCATTATTACAAAATTTCATGATTTATACATGTAACTCTTACAAAGCAATATCCAGGGAAAATGAGCAAAGAATGTAAACAAGCAATGCATAGAAAGGATATGCAAATAACCAATAAATGTGTAGAAATGTGCTCAATTCCCTATAATTAGACATATAAATTAAAGTAAGAGTGAGCTGCGATTTCACACCCATCAACATAGTAGTCTTAACTCTTTCTATTCAAATGCTATATTAAATTTTAAGGCAAACCAAACTACTAATTGCTATAGGAGTTTAAACAATCAGTGATCCCAGCCTAGTACATCTTCCAGAGTTCCCAGACCCAAAGAGTTGTCCCTGTAGCCTGTACTGCAGCAATTATCAGGCTAATTCTTGTCTCCTTTTGTCACTGAAACCCACCCTAAAAACTCCACGGTGACTATCAACCAGGAAACATGGAAGACAAAAAGTTATAAGATCTAAGGCCTAATCTTGTTTTGGACTTCGTTGATTTTTAGTTTCTATTTTCCACTCTCTCACTGCCTATTATTTTGTTATATCATAGGAAAATGACTGGAGAGACATCAGCAAATCTGGAAAGTCATTTGAAATACTATTACTAGACATGTTTCTGGCACACAAGGAGATAGTCTTGAGAAATCAGAGAAACTTCAGAGGTAGAGAATTATGCTCTTGAGTAGCTGACACTAAGAATCAAAGGCCTCTGTCATTGCTGATCAGGAGGAATACAAGCTATGTGCACTCCAAGAAGGCACCAAGCAGGAAACACACTTTGTACATGTGCCCCATGTGGAAAGCCATGTAAAAGCATATGCTTAGAAGGACTAAGCTGATACACAATGTAGCAGCTTCTTCTAGAGGCTACTTTATGTAACACGTTCTATTGTGGCCAGAGAGAGGTATTTACCTAAACAATTCAGAACAGACAAGTGGGTCTATCCATGGAAGAGATAATGGTAGTTCTTCACAAGGTTGCTGAGTACCAACCTGAATATCACCTGAAACAAATACTGTGTGATACCTGTAAAGTCCATCAACAGATGAATGGATAAAGAAAACCCAGTATTTATCCATAATGGAGTTCTACTCTGCCACAAAGATAGATAAACATAAATCATCTATAGGAAAATGGATGCATCTTGAGACCATAATGTTAAGTGAAATAAATCAGACACACAAGCTTAAATATCACATGCTTTCTCTCTAAGTAAAGAGCAAAATAAAAGACAGATAATAGGATGTAGGAAGACAGATCTTTTTCAAATGAGATGGGGATCAAGAGACGGAGAAGGGAGGGAATGAGAGAAAGGCCATGAAAGAAAATGTGTCATGTATATGTACCAACTCCTCCAAGGAATGTAATCATTACATAATTCAAACATGTATCAATAAAAAATTAAAACTGAAAAAAAATTACTTCTGTCTTTCATGAGATGTGTCATGTATATGTACCAACTCCTCCAAGGAATGTAATCATTACATAATTCAAACATGTATCAATAAAAAATTAAAACTGAAAAAAAATTACTTCTGTCTTTCTGGGAACTTTGATCTCTATTCTTGCCTATAGTCTTCCTTCCATCAGACCAAAATTCCCTGAATGCAAAGTGTGAACAAGGGTGCTGTCATATTCCTACCTCAAAATTGTGCTTCTTCAATGTGACAACTGATACTGTGTCCCGTGCAGTGTGTAGCTACTGACAGCTATGGTAACAGTGAAAGAATTACTGGGTACAACATCATGACACAATAGTTCTCACCACAGAAACTAGATAATAAATTCTGTGTTGAGCTATTTCACATAAAAGGCTACCTCTTCTGGACACTGCCAAAGCATCTAAGTGAGCACTGATGCAAAAGATTTCAATGTGGCATTATACTTTCTAAAATCTAATTTTTAGTAATAAATAATAAGCCCAGATTTGCCTGACAAATCTGCCTTTTCCTCTCCCTCAGGAAAAAGGAAAGCACATGTCAACACAAACACTCATATACAAATCTTTCAGGCAATTTAATCATAATCATCAAAATGTGGAAACAATACAAATATCTCTCACCTGGTAAATGGATAAACAAATTATGGTATAGGTTCAGCACCTCTTATCCAAAACGCTTGGGATCAAAACTGTTTAACCTATGCATTTTTCATATTTTTACAATAATTTGCATAGACTTTACAGGTGTAGCACCCCTTACCTGAAGTCAGAAAAGCTCTGAGATCTGATTTTTTTTTTTTTTTTTTTTTTTTTTTTTT